GAGCAAAATACACTGCATTAGTGAATGAGTGGCACATTCCATAATACATGGATGGCTAATAAATGACAAAAAGAAAAAAACGTGGATGGATCAATGAAATGGCAGTGCACATGCAAGGCAAGGTTAATTAAAAATTTTGCAATTCCTTGCTCTACTCATTATTATTATTTGTCAAAACATATTTAAAAATAAAAATGGATCTATGAGTAATACTGTGTATAGAGACTATAATTATATATGAATTCTAATTCATGATGTAAATTTTCTATCTCCTAATACAGTACATCAACTGTTGTTTTTTACAAGAGTTTTGTAAAATGCTTTCATGCAACAATACTTTTAGGATAGACGTTTGTGCATGCTTTGGATTTCCAGACAAGGAAGCTGTCATTATCTAGATAAAGGAATTATACATTTTTTTCTTTTGAAAAAGGGGTGAATTTCATTTGAATCAGGCTTAGCATAGTGATGTTGATGCTCAACTTGCAAACTGTGGATCGTGGGATCAAAACCTGGTGTCAAACATGCCTGATCGTTCAGCTATGGAGGCATTATAAGGTGACAGCCAATCATACTATTCCTTGGTAAAAAGGGTAGACTAAGAGTTGGCAGTGGGTACTGCTGACCAATCGCCTTCCCTCTGATTGGTAGTTCAAAATTAAGGAATGGCAGCAAATAGCCTTAGTAGCTTTGCTACAAACAAACATTTGAATTTTCAAATTTATACACACGCCTATAACTGAAATAAAACACAGACAAGACTGAAAACGTAAGCTAGATAAATTCTTAAAAATAGTTCCCTGTTCACATGAATTATTCCTAGTTTCCTATGAGAAGTGACATATTTCAGGAGTCACGTTTACTTGTATTTTATACATATTTTGAGCAATTTTAACGGATCTGACTCTTGTATTTGTGAAGCATGAGCGAGACTTTGACATATAAATGTTATATTCTCCCACTACTGCTATTGTGCTGATAACATCACGAGCAATAATATGTATTCTTTTGCTGCCTACTAAGCATTGTTAAAGTTGATCACAAGGGAAGACTTAAAAACACATGTACAAAGGTATAGCACTGTTAACAGTTAATATGGCTGGATACACGATACTGCCTGCTTATAAAAAAACATTCTGACTTTTCAACCTTTCTTATGAACGTGCCCAGACATATGGTCTGCGAAACTGTGTCAAATATAAATTCTATAATCAAATTTTCCTGTAGAATGTGGACATTTATGTGGATGCTTTAAAATATTTTGAAGAAACCAAAAACCAAAGAAAGAATTGAATACCTTAGATTACTGCTATGTAATGAACAGGATATGTCATTTGTAGTTTTAAATAGAAATAATCTAGTATTGTTCATTCATAATGTTACTTTGAAAGTGTTTTGATTGAACTTGTGCATACCATATCATATATTCTCAAATATGTTACAAAAAGTTTGATATTTCAAACATAAAATTCATTGTGTCTGATCTATCACTGCTATTAACTTGCAAGTTTAATACAACTAACTTGTAAACTTATAACAGATTGACCAGTGAAGACCATCAAATTTCACAGCCTAATGGAACTTTTGATTATTGTAAATATGAACTTACTTTGATGTAAGTGAAAATAAAAACTGCATACTCTTAGGTTCAAAGTATCTGAAACTGAATTAAGGTGCTAAAACATGGATGGGCTGGAGTGGAAGGATGATCCATCTAATAAAAAGGCAGTTAAAGTAAAGAATATTGTGTAAGGTAAACTATTTCAATTGGAAACTGATGAGATATCCCATAAATCTGATTTCACTGGGCATAGACGCATATCCTGAACACTGCAATGGGAGAGTAAAATGTCTTTTACAGAAGATGATTTGCATGCAAAATGTGATAAACACCAGGACAAATCAATTTTAGGGTAAATTTATTAGAAGGCTCCAAATAAATAGATTACAACTAATTACAAACACCAAGAGGAATGAACAACATTTAGGCTGAATGCCAGAATCAAATGTTTAACATGTTAACTATACAAATCAAGATAGCCCCAGTAGGTGTGGCAGAGAAAACCATGTATTTTATGTACTTTAAAACCAAATTACTTAAATGGGAAATTAGTAGAAAAGTATAGCAAGAACTAAACATTTAAAGTTTGACAATTCAATTTATACAAATCTGGCAATTGGTGATGTTGGTTTTCAGTCAACCCTAAACTTCTACAACTAAATGGCAACTCCTGATTGATGGATGATGTATAAGCTGTGGCTAATTAAGTACGAAAAAGGAATTATTAAGAACTAGAGCTCAAACGAGCACTGAAAATCTTCCTTTAAAATATTATTTAAGAACAAATGACAACACCTTAAGATGTGATCAGAGGTATTGCTGAGACAGTTAATAATCACTGAATGATGCTACATTTATTGTGACTTTTTGCTGAGAGTTCTCAAAAATGGAGCATGTATTGACAAACTTTTATCAGCAACTACATTTTGTTTAAATTTATTAACATTTTTGAATAACAAGAATATTCACTTCTTTGAAATTATATTCTGTGATCAGAAAGGAACATATTTTACAGGTATTTATGAAATAAAACACCCAGACAAACTTCACTAAAATACAAATACATATACTCAACATATCTGATTAAATTTACTGTTACTCGATTATTCATTGATATTTACTTATTACCATTTACATGCATAGACTTTGCAAGGGTTGTACTGAAGAAATTATGTATTTATTCAAACAAATCTGTTGGCACTACATAAGCAAAAACTATTTTTCAACAGCTATTGTTTCAATGTAAATAAGACAGGAATATTTTATATTTTCTTTTTGTTGCCTTAATAAGTCATTCAACATGAATTTGAACAATTAAAAATTGTCAGAACAGTTAAACTTCCTTCTTGAATAACTGATTTTTCATTTGTTAAGTGATGAATGGCAAGTGTAGTTTCATGCATTTTAATACAAAGTCTTTAAAATCTTAGGTTTCTGGGTTCCAATCTGTTCAGGAAGATGCCTGTCTTGCATAAATTCCTGATCAGATACATAACACTAACAGGTCTTTATAATTAAGAAGTTATATTTTGTTGGAGTGATGCCAATAAAAAGTTCATTATATTGATCAATATGTTTTAGCTCCAGCCTTATAGTTTAGTTGTATCTTGAGGAATATTACTCGGAAATAAACATGCATTTTTGCAAAATCTTAAATATATTTCATTTATCTGGCCAAATAACTAATTATTTAAGATGTGAAGTATTTAGTGAAATATTATGTTAAATACTGCTCTATGCACAGGAAGTCTATATCCTAGGTTTTTAAATAGAAAGTTTACTTTAAATTCTATAAATTTGACACTACTACTGTTGGCTGTATGTGCACTATAGTGTCTTTGATGAAATCCAAAACATTAGTCAAAATATAAAATTAACAAAGTTTGTACAGTTCATGCAACTGTTTAAGTTAACCTCATTTGATGTAAGATAAATCACAGGTTGTCAAGATGACAAATCTTGGTTACCAATGATGTCAACATAACCAACCTATAAGGTATTATATCAAAAATTCCTATTGGTCTGCATTATTTTAGGATGTGTAAATACTAAAGTTCACCTAGCTATGTATGATCTACAGATCATTCTGGGAAAACCTATCTATTCCTTGAAACAATTATATAATGCAGGAGAAAAAGACAGTTTTCCCCAGGGATAAAATACAGTCTAAATATTCTGATATTGAAGTTATTTTAGAACAGACAAAAATAATAGAAACTGCAATGACAGTACTAACACTGAATATATCCTTTTTTTTCTTCAAATAATGGACAAATTGTTTGTTTGCTGTCAAGGAAAAGCTACACAATGGGCTATCTGTGCTCTACCCATAGCAGGTACCAAAACCTTACTATTAGTGTTATAAGCCCTCAGACTTACCATTGAGCCACCAGGGAGCTGGACAATTTATGAATTGTGAAGTTTCAGTTTTATTACCAATATTTCAACTTACAAGTATACCATTTCCATTGTCTGAAATATTTACATGTATACATTTTTAGGCAGGGAAACAAATCTTAAAAACTTATTGTTTTTGAAAAAAAAAGTTCACTGATTTTTAAAATCTAACTGAAAAAAACATTTAAACTATTATAAAACTCAGTTCTGAAGTGATATTAGTTTAATAAAGATGTATAACTTTCAAACTGTTTTTTCTTAAGGCAACATATCACCAATCTAAGCTTTTATCACTTTGTTCTGATCTTTATGTAAAGCTATGCTGAACAGGAAGCTATATTGGCCTGTATAGTTAAAAATAGCTGTGATTACATATTTAGATCACAAGCCTATGACTTCTCAAAGCTGAGATGTAAGCTGTTACATCACACCATTACAACCATACTTGTATTGAAGTTGCAAGATCAAATTAGCATTATTTTGTTCATAACTATTTTGATTTTTCTCTTATGTGGCTATGAGTGCTGTATTATGCTCAAGAGAAAAATCAGGAAATTCAGAATTTTGTTAGGTGAGTGCTTAAATCAGCCTCAAATCAAAATTTACAATTTTTTTATGCATAAAATTAAGTATATATAATTTCTTATTGAATAAATTTTAACTGTGAAGTAATGTTGTGGAAAAATGACAAAGTATATTTTCCATAAATTCTTCAATTCATTGTTGCAGTTTTGCCTCGAGGCAGAATTCACCCATCCAGGTATGATAGTTAAAGGTTATGACACCAGTTGTTTGAAAAAACATACTACTTTTATATAGATTTTGCTAAAAATACATATAGTTTTGCAAAACCTTAGCATCTAGTATCATTATTCAAATAATATGAAAACTTTTCAATAAGGAGGACATCAATGAAAACAATTACATATTTTTTTATACACTTAAAAATAAGATATACTAACACATAAAATATTTAGGAATTTTAATGTTATTGAAATTAACTTTTTAAGAGTTAAATTGTGAAAGAGGTATATGATGGAAAACTGGTTAATTTAAAAGCTGATATTTTTAATATTGAAGACAGTATTATCTCTTCACTTTTATAAAAGTATAAGTGATACAATCCTATGTGTATTAAAACTTTTCTTAATGTATTTAAAGGCATAAAGCTATTTGATGGATATTAAAAACATATGCATCAACTTTGTTAGAATTATCTCAGCAGCATTAAAGTGAAATAGGATGTCTTTGAGGCATTTTCTTGTATATAATGTTAAATTTTATTTTTATATGTATATTTCATTTCTATCTTTTGTGTTAGCAATTAGTTTCTCTCTCTCATACACGAAACATAGAGTTCCAGAGGCCTGCTAGGTTTTTTGACAGGCTAATACATGTAAAGTTCAGATCAGACTCACAGATCAAATTGGACCACCAGGCTAGAAAAGAATGCACTTCATTAGTGCCCTGGAATGATATGGATGGCTGTAACCCTAGTAGATCTGAAATATGAAGTGAAATATTATAAAAAAGTTATTACTTCAATTAATACTATTCTTTAATAACTACAAAAAAGTCCTTAAAAGAAAAATGTGTGATTTATATTTAAAAGTTTCTTTAAGCTTTAGGGTCATTTCCTTGCAAGAAAAACAACAACAAAAAACTATAAGTTATACTCTTCAGAACTACTAAACATGTAAATTTCTGTGAATGTACAATTGTTCAAATGAAAACTATTTCTTCTACTCTTTTAATCTTTTCTATCAAATGGTGCCATACAATATCTGATGATAATAGATTCTATTGTATACCATTGTTTTCTTTTATAATATTGAGTACTATACAGCAACAAATCTGAACATGAATATAAGTCATTCTTTTTAGTACAGTGATAATGTTTGAAGTTATATTAACATTTTCATTACCTGAAAATATATTTCAGATAGATCCTCACCATTTCACAGAACAGATAGCTATTACCTTACACCACTGCCAAATATTTTTTTTGCATCAAAAGGTTATGCTGATATAGCATAACAGTGAGAAAGATTGACAGCAGGAATTAGGTGTACAAATATCTCACCCCTACATGTAATAATATGTACTGCCCCAGTCTTTTCTATGATAAAATCAGCATTATACTATAGCCTTCAATCAGTTAAAGGGTGACACATAGGACCCAAACATCTGGAATAACCACTGGGAACTGTATAGTTCTTAGTGTAGATGTGGCCTGTACTACAGTACCAGGTAAGCACCTCAATCCTACTTCTGATCAAGGGTTGTGTTTACTCAGCTTCAAACCAGTGGGATTATATCAACTGAAATGTGAGCTCTCCATACTGACTTCCTCAGCAGCTTGGGACATGGGAAGCAAGGGTTCTTACACCCAATTAGTAGAAATGGGGAGGAGGATGTTGTAAAGGGAATAACACTGGAAAAGGTGCATATACCGAACAGGAATAATCTCATATGCATAATGTCCCACACTGCTAGATTGTACAGTGATTATCTTACCACAAATAGAGACAGCAGATACTAGCCAATTGTGAGGGTAGGAACCACACTTGGTGCTGTCTTTTTTTTTGAAGAAGCAGTACAGGTTGTAAGGTAAAATATAAATACAGACGAAGCAGTCTTGAGAAAACTTCATATCACAGCAGACACTGAGCAAAAGAAGATTGGCTTAATACTGTTTTATGTCTCCTACTCAATATGAATTTCCCAGTAAGGTAATACCAGCCACGTGGTGGGTTTCACTGTCTCCAGATATATATATATATACATATATGTTAGTTTGAGGTTTTTTAAATCTGCAAGAAAAAAGAATAGTCAATAACTTGCTGCTATAGAGTCACTAGGAGGATTAAAGAATAGTAACTAGGAAGAAACAAAATCCAGGGGCAAAAGAAACTACAATGTATGTAAGGAATGGAACACAAAAGCACCAGGAGCTGTCTACATCCCACCTGCAATATCACACCCAAGGGATGTTGATGGCTAGATTCAAGAGAAATTGTGAGATAGTGTATTTTATGGGAGGTGACAAGAAAACAAAAGAATCACCTCCCAAAAAGGAATAGATAAGTTAGATGAGTTATGTTACCCAACTAGTCAAGTTTATGAGATAAGTTACCAAAAGAAAAAGAATCTCAAGGTTAACAAAAAAAAAAAAATTGAATTTTTAAAATGGAGAAATGAAAGTGAGATAACAGTAGTAGTAGTTTTGTATGGTGTTTCTCACACCTCCAAATTCTGTTGGAGGTGAGTATCCGGGAATAGGACTGACGTCCTAGTTCGGACACTGGGTGAGCATGTTTCGGTGTGACGGAGATTCGAACCCGCTACCCTCAGATTGCGAGTCAAGTGCCCTAACCACCTGGCCATGCCGGGCCGAGATAACAGTGAACTGCTCTAACTAGACAATGGCGGTGACTGGGGCGGAATGATAATATAGAGCAGAAAAGGAAAGGTGGGTGAATGGAGAAAACATCGAATCACTCACCTGAGCAGCCCAAGTCTTGTGGAGGAAGGAGCAATCTAAGAAGAATATCAACCTTTTCCTGTGGGGAATAATGCACAGGGCATCCAAGGAAAAATTATCAGACCAATTTATACTTCAAGCAAGAAGAAATAGATTGTAAAGGAGAGATGGCACAGGAAACAGGTAGTGAAATGTTCAAATGGAAGACATTAAGGGGCTGAGAATTAACCCTAAAGTTATAGGTCCCCTTTCCATGCATGTCATGAGGTTTTACTGAGTTACATTCACAATTTAATTAAGCACCTTTACAGTCAACGTAATTAGCATTATAACGTATGTTATAATTCAATGTTTTATGTTATCTATGTTTTAATTCCTTTATTTCAAAAGAAACTTTAAAAAAATATTAATCATAAATTTTGTTGTCCCGTGATGCACAAGTATTTACGAGTCTTAGCTTTTGGTCTCTGTAACTTAAGTAATTATTCTTGTATACTAGATCTGAATGTCTAGATAGAAACTAGGCTAATTGTTTTGTTTACACATCCTTCTTTCAAATTACTTAGGGCAAGTTCTGAGAAAGGAAAAAGAAGTCTCTTGGGAACTCTTGACAGAAGCCATGCCCACTTTCTACACATAGTCATGTGAATTTGCACTCAATGCTACTTATTTTTGTAGATGTTTATAACCAATAGAAATGGCTCATTTTAAACTACAATTTTCCAATGGTGATTTTCAAATTGGCACACAGAATTCCTTACAAGTACTTCAAACCACTCTTAGTATTGATGACGCTTATGTCTTTGCTAGTACTTAGCATTGTTTGTCACCTAGAAATGTTAGGTATACGGTTAAACTGTATTTAGATTTTAGTTTTATAGTTTAGTTAATTATGTGTTATTTATGCTTCAAAATGCATATTAGAAAAGTTTAATAATTTTTAAAAATATAACCCAAAGTTTGTCTCAGTTCATGCAGCTTAGTGTAGTAGTACATGAGTACAACAATATTCTGCTGAAGGTTAAAGTATCTCTGTCGATGATACTATAACATTGGTAGAGGATGCCCATTAATATGTGTCACAATAAATAATAATGATTAAGGACAGGAAAGGAAAATAAAACATTAAAAATAAACTATAAATGAAAAGGTCTATAAGAACCTACGAAAAGGGCAAATAATCAGGGAAAAGATGGAAGATTGCCAAAAAAGCCACATTACAATTGGTAATTGAAGAAACAGAAAGACCATCCTCAAATGCCAAGAAAAATTAAGAACTGATATGAGAAAAGAAAAAAAAATACTGCCAATCTTGCAAAAGACCAGACAAAAGTCATAAATGAAGATGAAAGTGTGAAACATTGTGGTGAAAGATAAAAGTCTAACACTAATGTAAAACAGACCCCAAGATGGAAGAAATAGAGGTCCCAGAATTACCAAGAGACAAAGAAGCAGAAATCACAAGCTGACCAGAGAGGGGCAAATGAGAAGAACCTGGTAAATGGTGCTTAGGAATTAAAGACAGCACCCTGAGAAGAAGATGAAGAGTATGATAGGCATACAGAAATATGGTGGATCAATACAGAATCAGAAGGAATACCAACAAGAGTCATAGAGTTTGCAACTGGTAAGAAAAAAAAGTGGAAGCTTGATGTAGAGGGTAGTTGCAAATGCATTAATGAAAAGTTCCAAAGAAGAAACAAATCTACAGAAATGTTAGAGATGTAAAGACCATTCTATCTGGAGGATTTAGTTTGGGCATGATAGCAAGTCCACTACCAAAAGATTCTGTAATATGAAAGGGCAACAACCAAAACTGAACTTGAGAACAAAAAGGAGAGGCCACGAGAGTGAGTACCTCCTTGTCAGTTAATGTAAGAAACAACACTGGAGTTGTTAAAATAAATTAAAACAGGATGTTCAGGTAATAAATGGTGGTGGCAGGCCCACAGAGCTGCCCAAATTTCAGGGACATTGATGTGAAAAGAATGCTCTGTAGGTAATCAAACACTAAATGGGTAAAGGTATCCAGAAAAACATACCACCTAAATAGAAATATATCTATAAACAAGTGTAAGTCAGAGTAGGATGGAAACATGGAGTCATGTAGAAAATTGTGAGCCAAGATGACAGAGAGGGAGAGAAAAAAAAGATGGAGATAGAGAAATAAGAGCAGAAAGCTGATCAAAGGGTATATTCCACTTATCTATCAGAGCCCACTTCAGGGGACACAAAAGAAGTGAGAGATCCCAAAAGAGACAGAACTTTGTTCAAAGGAAGAAAAAGAGACATAAAAGCTATAGATATAAGAAGCTCCATATCTTGGAAATGTAAATGAGACAGTTGAGCCCACCTCACAAATAAATGAATATGACTCCCAAGTGAATCAGATGTTTAATGGGTGTCATTACTAACTTTAGAGCCTGACTAGCCAATCCAAATAAGCAGACACCAACAGCAGAATGGCGATAATAGCAGATGGTACCTCAAAGGACAGGGCTATAAGTTGCTGAATGTCCAGACAGTGGTGAAAATGCAGACTCAACAAGTATAGTCTGTGTAAACACTGTTAGATATTAATTAAAAATATACAGGTGTGAGCCCTGAATGACAAAGAGAACTTCTAAGAGAAACCTTGTGGGATCCAATCTCCTGCAAAGTGAGTCCACAGGTGGACAAAGTGTAAAAGCCAAATTCCCACAGAGCAAAAGCTGATTACAGAGCCCCATGAAGGCTATACTCTTAGGAAGAGGAACACCAGGATGATCAACTCCTCTAAAGGTCTGCATAATGAAATGGTGTCAAATGGGGTTCCTAAGAGAGAGAGAAAGAACAAAAGTAGTCTAACTTCAGAAAATAAGGTATTCCAGTAAAGCTAAAGAAAGTGATCTGGGCAACAGCTGAAGAAGAAAATAGGGTAGTATGAAGAACAAGTTATTGTGATTTTCTCTCAGTAAAGATGTTGGGGTAGAAATGCACAGCTTCAGAAGTGTAAAGGGAATATAAAGTTAAAAAGGT